GGAAATACAACACATTAAAACTTATGAGATACAGCAAAAACTTATGAGATACAGCAAAAAGCAGTTCTAAGAGGATAGTATATAGTGATAAACATCTATATTAAGAAACAAAAATCTCAAACAACCTAACTTTACACCTGCAGGAACTAGAAAAAGAACAAACCAAGTGCAAATTAATAGAAGGAAGTAAATGATAAATTTCAGAGTGTAACTACGTGAAATAGAGACTAAAAGGACAATAGAAAAGATCAATGTAATTGAGAGTTGGTTTTTTGAAAATATAAACCATATTGACAAACATTTAACTAAAGTAAGAAAAAGAAAAGACCCAACTAAGTGAAAATAGAAATGAAAGAAGAGACTTTACAACTGATAACACAGATATACTAAGAATCGTAAGAAATTGCTATGAACAATTATATGCCAACAAATTAGATAACCTACAGAAATAAATTCCTACAAATATGCAACCTTCCAAGATTGAATCATTAAGGAATAGGAAATCTAAACAGACCAATTAATTGCTAGTAAGGTAATTTAACCAATAATCAAAAAACCCCTGATAAAGTAAAGTCCAGGACAGGATGGCTCCACTGGTAAATTCTACCAGATATTTAAACCCAGTCCTTTTCAAATTCTTCCAAAAAACAGAAGAGGAAGGAATACTTCCAAACTCATTTTAAGAGTCCAGCATTACTGTGGTACCAAAGCCAAACAAGGACACGAAAGGAAAAAAAAATTACCAATATTCCTGATCACCATAGGTGCAGAAATTCTCAACCAAAAAATTGCAAACCAATGTCAACAGTGCATTCAAGGTGTAATATACCATGTTCAAGTAGGACTTGTTCTTGGAATGCAAGGATGGTTCAAGATACGCATGCCACTCAGTGTGAATCACCATATGAACAAATTGAAGGCCTAGAATCATGATCATGTCAGTAATGTAGAAGAAACTTTTGACAGAATTCAACATTCTTTCATGATTAAAAACTCAAAAAAATTAGGTATGGAAATAAAGTACCTCAACATAACAAAGGCCATTTATGACAAGCCCACAGCCAACATCATAATCAACAGTGAAAAGCTGAAAGCTTTTCATCTGATATCAAGAATAAAACAAGTATACCCACTCACATCACTTTTATCCACTGTAGTACTGAAAGTCCTAGCCAGAGCAATTAGGTAAGAAAGAGAAATAAAAGATATCTAAATTGGAAAGGAATAAGTAAAATGGTCTCTGTGGATGACTCTATATTATATAGAGAAAACCATAAAGACTCCACCAAAAAATTGCTAGAATGAATGAATTCAGTAAAGTTGCAGGATACAAAATCAATATATAAAAATCAGTTGCATTTCTATACCCTAACAATGAGCTATTGGAAGAAAATTAAAACCATTCAATTTACAGTGGCATCAAAAAGAAATGAAATATTTAGGAATAAATTTAACCAAGAATGTGGAAGATATATACACTGAAATCCACAAAACACTGGTGAAAGAAATTCAGGAAGACACAAATAAATGGAAAGATATCCCATGCTCATGGATTAGAAGAATTAATAATGCTAAACTGTCCATACTACCCAAAGCAATCTATGGATTCAGTTTAGTCCCTATCAAAATTCCAGTGGCATTTTTCACAGAAATATTTAAAAAACATATTCTAAAATTTGTATGGAGCCATAAAAGATCCTGAATAGCCAAAGCAATCCTGCAAAGGACAAAACCAAGGCATCACACTTTTTGATTCAAACTATATTACAAAGCTAGAGTAATCAAAACAGTATGGTATTGACATAAAAACAGACACACAGATCACCTGAGCAGATTAGAGAGCCCCAGAAATAAACTCACACATGTACGGTCAATTTTTGACAAAAGAGCCAAGAATATACACGGGGAAATGTTAGTCTCTTAGTCTCTTAAATAAATGGCGTTGGGAAAACTATGCATCCACATGGTAAAAAAATTAATAAATAAAATTGGGTGCCCCCTTATTTGACATAAAAATTAACTCAAAATGGATTAAAACCTTGGACATAAAACTTGAAACCATAAAATTCCTATAGGAAAACATAGGCAGTACACATTTTGACATTAGTCTTAGCATAATCTTTTTAGATATATCTCCTCAGGCAAGGGGGACAAGGCAAAAATAAATAAGTGGGACTACATCAAACTAAAAAGCTTCTGCACAGCAGGGAAACCATCAACAAAACAAAAAGACAACCTACTGAATGGGAGAAGGTATTTTCAAATCACATATCCAATAAGGGGTTAATATCCAAAATATATAAAGAACTCATACTACTCAGCAAAACAAAACAATTTAAAAAATGGGTGAAGGTCCTAAACAGACAGATTTCCAAAGAAGACATCCAGATGGCTGACAGGCACATAAAAGGGTGCTCAGCATCAGTAATCATCAAGGAAGTGCAGATCAAAGCCACAATGAGATATCATCCTAACACCTGTTAGCAAGGCTATTATCAGAAAGGCAAGCGATAACCACTGCTGGTGAGGATGTGGAGAAAAGGGAGCCCTTAGCTACTATGGAAAACTGTATGGAGGTTGCTCGAGTAATTAAAAATAGAACTACTGTATGATCTATCAGTCTAACTTCTCAGTATATATCCAAAGGAAATAAAATCATTATCTCAAAGAGCTCTGTACTCCCATGTTCACTGCGGCATTATTCAAATGAGTTAGTGTATTCTGAGTCAAATGGTTAGTGCATGTTTTCTTTACTATATTATTAATTTCTTGTCTTTATATTAAATGTAGATCCTGCATTGCCCTTCAAAGTTGGACTAACCCAGCACTACCCTGAGTTCCATAGCTCAGTGATGACCAAGAAGGCCTTAAAGTTCTGCTCAGCTTGACTAAGCTTTGGTCAGGTTTCCTCCTAACCATAGCCCCCTGTCCTCCCGTTTCTTACTGCATTTACCCAAGAAAATTTGAAATTGTAATTTCTTTCTCTGCCCCTTTGAGATGTGATTCTTTTAGTGTCTTGCCAGTTTTACAACCCCAGAATGTCTTTCTCAAGGACCTCCAGCACCTGGGAGCCAGGAGTCATCTCTTTAAAATGTAATCTTTAAGAAAGAGTGTGCTCCTTTCTCTTCAGTCTTTGAGGGAGGCTAGAAGCCTAAGCACCAATTATCAAACATAGATGACCTAGTCACGTTGACCAGCCTCCCCTTAATGTTCTCCAGTACTTTTCACTAGCTCAACCTCAGCACTTAAAAACTTTCCCATATTTTGTTTCAGTTGAGTTGGCTTCAGTCACTCTTCTCTATTGCAATAGCTTTGAATAAAGTCTTCCTTATCTATTTAAATCTGATCTAGTGCAATTTCAGTTTGATAGTCATTAAGATGAAGATTCTGAAGTTAGACTCTGGCTCCATTTTACTGCACAAGTCACATAATGTCACTAAGCCTCAGTTTGCTTAAGGGTAAAACGGAGATAATGGTACCTACCTACAGGATTTCTGTTCGTGGGCTGATAAACCTTAAGCTCTTAGCATGCTGTCTGGTGCATGTTAGGCATAACCATATCAGAGCCATAAAATAATCCATAAATTTTAGGGGTTTGTTGTTGTTGTTGTTAGTGACTGCATGAAAAGCTTCTTGATAGCTGTCTTTTAAATAGTGAATTACTGTAATGTATTTAAAATGTTGCTGATTATCAATATGTACATTTTTCGGATACCTGTTTTGCAAAGTGAAATCTATTGAGTACTTGAAATAAAGATAAAAATGCATCATAAATAGTGAAGGCAAGCAACCAGTTATACATATGATCCTGAAGTCTAGTTCCTTTGGGGAGTTACTTCTGAGGCCATGTTGAGAATTGGCATCTGTGAGTGGGAGACAAAACTGAAATATCATGTTTTCAGACACTAGCAAGCTATGTTCTCCAACCAATGAAGAAAACTGTGCTGTTTATATTTTGAAGTTCAAGATATCTCCTACTTAGGCTATCCTGGAACCAAACACTTAAGCTAAAATTTAATTTTTCTTTAATAGATAAATGTTAAAATACAAGTTGTATTGCAACACTTCATTGCCTGAAGCTATATCATGAAACGTTGCCTCAGTCCCTAAATTTTAAGAAATGCATGTGAAACAACACATGCTTAAACGTTGAAACTGCTTTCTTTAGGTGGGGGAGCATGGTAACATACAGCAGGGAACTATGGTAGTGTGGCTACATGTCAGTATAAATGTCCTGTCATAACAGTTCCCTGTTCAGTGTGTGCTCTATCTGTAAAACTGCTTCTCCCCCTTCTTTCTCTCTCCAAAAGTAATCTGAGAAAAATTCACTTGAATTGCTATCTGACTTTTAACAATCTATATTCTGTTTGGAAACCCTGCTTGCAATTCTGACTGACTTACAAAGATAACAGTGATGATATGGATCGGTCTGAAAGGCTAAAAGTCCTGCATTGATATTCCATTCTTAAATACGGACAACGTGATGGTGCGTTTGTTTTGTTTTTGTTTTAAAGAGTGGTTACCTCTTATAGTATGTTCACTGTTTTTGTACTGCCCGTTAAAGGAGACTCCTCTAACATTTGGTTAATATTTTTAGATTGTTTGCTCTCATCTCCCCTCCCTGTTTGAAACAGTTTTGTGTTACAGGAAGGGGTTATAAGAAAAGGCAGAGCTCATCTTATAAGCTGTATGAATACAGATAAAAAGACACATTGTGGTTTATGATGTCTTCATGCCCAACTGGAGGGAAGGGAATTTAAGAGCAAAATAAAAAGACTGGAAATCTAAGTCAACTCAGAAACAAGCTATGCCTGTGATGAAGTTGGAAAGTTATTTGTTATGGCCCCCTAGTTGTATATATTTTATCCTAAGGCACCATTTGGGTTACTAAAATGTAGGTCTGTTGCTTTCTTAACCTATCAGTTTCTTAAGACTTAATTATAAAGGTTATATTTTCAGAGGACAAAAGCATTATTCATTTGTCTGTTCATGTCTTCCAGGTTTATCTTGCAGATTATGGACTTTCCTACAGATACTGTCCCAGTGGGAACCACAAGCAGTATCAGGAAAATCCGAGGAAAGGCCATAATGGGACAATAGAGTTTACCAGCTTGGATGCCCACAAGGGAGTAGGTAGGTCTCTCTTTTTTTCCCTTATTTTTGTTTTAGAAGAGTAATTAGAGCAAAGAGTCCTAGGCGCCATGAAGTGACCTTTGCATAGTTAGTTTGAAGAGTGAGAACATTGGTGAGATTTTTATCAAAAGTAGTGAATTCCTGTATGCCAGTGAATATTTCTTCTAATAGAGGGAGGAGATAGAGAATTTGACAAGTGAGAAATGAATAAAAGGGTGTCTAGTAAGCAAAACTTGATACTCATTTGGGACAGGAAAGTACTAGTTTGTTTAGGTTAAACTTGGAGGTCAGCAACTGAATGTTTATGCTATAGTGCGTATGGCAGATTTGGTACAGATACATGTGTGAGGAAACACGTTATTCCCGTTTTTCATGGTGCCCTTGTCAGGGTTTTAGAAGATACCATCTCTCAATAAGGAAATCTTTTCTGAAACTATAAAGTGTTAACTTGTGGAAGTCTCTCCTAGTCGCCTTTCATATATCTTACTTATTTAAACTCGCTTTGATGGTATTGGAAACACATTTGCAGGTAAATTACATACATAGTCCTTTTATTGGATATTGATTGTACTGCCTTGCATTCCAAGGCAGACTTAATTCAACAATTCCCTAATTAGTTAAAGTCATAACCTATGTCTTGTATTCATTTACCATTAATTAAACCTTAGCTGTTTATTACACTGCAGTCCAAATCCAATAGCCGACCCAGGAAGCCATGGAAAAGGAAGTAGGAGGTCAATATTGAAAATATATGGTGCGGCGTCCCACTGATGGTTGCTTTGTTCACAATCAATATGGTCAATGCAACTGTACTTTCTTAGTTGCTCTGTCAGCAAGACAAAAAGTCAATTCTAATGTTATGCTAGTAAAAAAAGTGATTATTGAAAAACTTCGGCTTTCAAAATTATATTTTTTGTAAAGTTTGTTTATAAAAGTATTTTCAAGTATGCTAAACCATAGAAATAATTTTTAAGCAGCTTCGAAAGGACTACATTGTCACTAAAAGGCAATTAGACATTTGCACGTGTTAATGGCTGTTGAACTGTTACCCTAAACTGGTACTTTCTAACGAGTTTTAGTTGGTGCAAACAACTGTATATTATTGCCTTTTCTATTAAAAGGACCATTGACCATGTAATGTAGAGGGTCTTGATCATTTTCCAGAGCAATTAAAACCCACACTAGTTTAAGGTAGGCCAATGAAAGTGAAACAAGTGTGTCAGTTGTATACCTTGTTCCTTTCCGGAAGAAACACACGTTACGTTTTCTGGAATGGAAATTAACTTTTATACTCCTGATCAGAATAAAAGAAATTACTACATTTTTTTTTCAAGGATAGTTTGGTTAGAAAAGTAATGGTCACTCAGAAATTTAGTAATATTGTGTAGTTTTTCACTATTAACATTGTTAATGAATCAATGAGCATTTAAAAAAGATATAAATGGAACATGGCTTTAATTAAATTAAGAAATGTAAGAGTCAAATAGTCACTAATAGTGGGGTTTTTTTCAATGTAAAGTTCTCAATGAATTTTATTCTTTACTTTTGCCAGATTTATTAGTATGAAGGAATTTTTAGAAACCTGCAAGTACTGTTTGATACTGGCATAACTGGAAGCTCATCACACAGATTCTTCAGCATTGGTCCAGCTACGTTCATAATGTTACTAGCTTACGATTGGGCCCCTTAGTTCACCTGGTAGCGCCAATACTGGTCCAGCTAGGTTTTGACTACTAGCATAGCTAGGAACCACCGCGATTGTGGAGTGGGAAGGTAGGCTTGTTACATGTCGGTCTGCTGAATGCTGGCCCTGCGGTAAATCTGATAGTCCTCCTCAGTAATTGCATAGTTTAGGGCAGTATTTTCATTGTGCTGTCTTCATGAAAAATTTGAACAAATTTTTATTCTGTACTGCATTTAAGTTTTTTTCTCCCTAAATAATAATAATTCATGTTGAAGAGTTGGGTAGATCTCACTATGCTGGGTCTCTGGGGAGAAGATTGAACTGAGAATGATGGTAGAAAGATACTATCTCTTTGGAAGGACTCTTCAGGGGAGCGCCTACATATATATTTTTGGTATTTGCTAGAAAGTTATATGCTGGCGTGAATATTTTTATCACAGGTTTCACAAGATTGCTGTAAAAATTAGATTCCCTTAATACATTTGAATATACACTAAACTTCTAGATATATCTATATTTACATATAGATATACATATATGTATACATGCATATATACACACATACGTAGATAGGTAGATATACACATACTGTCATAAATATGTATGTATGCTGAGAATTTAATATGCAGTTTTAGTCTAGTGTAAAAAGTAAAGTGTTTGGTATCCTCAAATGTTTGAATACTATTCATTCCTAATATTTTACATTTAATTTTCCAAAATAAAACATTTCACTTGAGGATTTTATTAGAAATGAAATAATTGTTTTGTCATATCTAGAAAATAGGATAAACAGGGCCATAAACCCTGTAGGTAAATACAGAAGGTCAGATTCATAAATATTCACGTGTTTGCTTTCAGTACAGTCACTATGTAGTTTAATCTCAGAAAAATCTTTTCTATACCAGTCTAGCCATGAGATCAAATAAATACGGAGGGAGATAATGCAAAGGAAAACATAAAGAGCAAAACAAGGAAGAAGAACCTCTAGCTGTCAAAGCATTTGCTGTGTTTTAGGTTTATCTGTCTGATCAGGCCCAGAAAAATATTCAGCCTTCAGTGTAAAACTGACTGTGAATTACCCACTTAACAGAGGTTGTTAACCCGGTCGGACTGCATGGTCGCTGCTTCCTTTGTCGTGGTTATTCAGAAACTGGGGCTAACTCTCGTGTTTCTGTGAATTAGTTAGGTTTTTGTAGTGAAGGAACTTCTATGAGGGGCCAGGTAGTTTTCACCTAAGCATCTTCCGGTTCAACTTTAAAAAGGAGCGTAGCTTATATTATTACAAACCGAAAAACTATGAATAGAGATAGAGAGAGATGGATGGACGGATCACTGAGTGGGTGGATAACTGTTCCTGGAACTGCTGTACATCTATGTATCTGTACTTTTTTAATTGCAGTTATTCTTCCAAACTCAGTTCTCTTATGTGACCTTTCTGAGTAGCTACGATGCTTTACATAGTGTAAAAGTAGAGTAATATATTGTTGGGCTTATCTTGTCTGTTATTAATTTTTTATTCCTCATAAAAACCAACATGTATAAACATTGACATATTTTGGGCTTGTTGCCTGATAATTAAAGAGAATTATATCTGTGTCAAACACACTAATTTAAAATTTGTTACATTCTTAGTAATGTTAAAAAGCAATATTTGGATCAATGTGTGGTATAGATTTTTGTAGATTTTTCTACTCACTGAGGCATGCAGTCAATACCTAATTTCTCTAGGGATGTACTGTGCTTAACAAATGGAGCTTTTTTAAATACTTCAGACCTGTGCATTGAGTGTATAATACCTGTTTTAATTTGACATCATTGATGACCATAGAATATATCTAAACTGCATTTCAAATGTCTATTTGTTTATATAATATATTCATTGTCAAGGAAAGAAATGTATTACATCCCTTTTTTTTATTTTTGCCAATTGCTACGGTATATGAAATCCAAGTCTTGTGTTATTTCTTGCATGGCTTCATTTCACTCCAATTTAGCGCTCCAACTTACAAAATATTTGTGAAATAAACCGAGAATGTATTTTCATGCTACCAAACTTGGGGGAAATGACTTGGTTTACACAATATTTACCTTCTTAAACAACAATTCATGAAAGGGAACCCGTTTTTCAATTGTAAGATATTAAGGTAAACCATCAAATTATTGATATGCTCTATTGAATCTGTTAGTAGTCAGAAAAACATACTATTGATTTTTATTTTTAGGTAAATTTCACTGCTATAAATGTCTTTGGTTGATGTATAAATAGATAATAATGAAGACATTATTCCTTCTATGTGGCATAAGTCAATTTTGACATTAGACATGATTTTCAAAGTCTTGACACAGATCTTGAGCTGTTTGGTTGGGTTAAGAATCCACATTGGCCAAATGTAAGATACCTTTGCTGTGTTGAATAACTTTTCCTAAGCCTCACACGGTAGTATTTCATAAAAAAAAAAAAAAAAAAAAAAAAACTAAAGGCTTACAATATATAAAGTACTGAAAAAATAAGAGAGACCTATTTGAAATGTGATAAATTGCATTGTAGTTTTCTAGCATCCCTTTTGAAATTGCAATGAATTGCGGCCAACATAAAATTTGGTAGCTCTTTATACATCTGAATTCACAAAATTGCTGAATAACATAGGTTACTAGTTAGAAAAGATAAAAAGAAACTTTAAATTTGTTCTGCAGATAGCCACCACTCACTTCTCAAATGAGCATCTTATTCAGATGTTTTCTGCTTTCTTACTGTCATTTCTAAGTATTTAAACTAGTATTTTGGGCATTTAAACCGTGTCTGCTTGAGGCAAAAGTTTTCAAGTTTATTATTTCCTACCAAATCTTATTTTTCTTCATACTTCATAATGTTACTATATATCAGAAATAAAACTAAACAGAAGACACTTCAGACGGATAAGCAGATCTGTTTGGGGTTTAACACATACACTTTTCTTGTTCTCCCAATTCTACTTTCATTGCATTTGGTGAATCACACCCAGATAATTTTACTGCTCTCTGATTTGAGAATAAGGACCAGTTCTCCAGTGTAACTTCTCTGTTGTTCTCTTACCAGATTGGAAGGACCATTTAACACTTTATGAATTAATGTTTTAACTAGACTAACTCTTCTTTATCAGAATTTGTTTGAAGTAGTTTGAAAGAAACAGCTTCATGAAAGGACAGTTGGATGAAAAATTTTGGTAGTGCTGCAACTAAGACCTCAATATCTGCTGCTTACTTATTCCTTGCCAAAACAGCTGTCTCTGCATCAGTTTGTCTTTGGGCGTTTTAAGTGAAAATGCCTGCTTGAAGTACTTCTCTAACTATAGAAGTAGCATATGTGATGTTGTTTAAATAACAGTAAAACTAACAATGGAGGCAAAGTAATTAGATTGAGTGTTAGCTTTGGATTCTGAAAGACTTGGATTTCAATACAGAGATCTGTGAATTTTTGCTCTGTGATACTGAACAAGTTACTTAACCTCTCTGAGCCTCTATTTTCTTATTGATCAGCAGGGTTAATGATATTTATATTATTGTTAGGATAATTAACTTAGATAATATAAAAGCAGCTAGAGTGTCTGGCACAGTAGCAGCTCCATAAATCATAGCAATTGTTTTTATTTTAATTATGCATTCTAGTGTCAGCTGTTTCTGGAATCTGCTTTCTAGTGTAATAGAATTCAGATCTCACTCTACCTGTGCCTTTTTTTTTTTTCTTACTCTTGGCAATACTTTATCATTTACAGTTGTTGAGCAACTGAGAGCACCACAGGCTTTCAATGGAAAGAGTCATTTACATTGCTCCATATTAATAAGCTAAATAAAAATTAGATGCTAAATTTTATTTAGGAACTAACAAGAGAATGTAGAAGAAAAATATTAGTAATGAAATCTTGCTATATTTCTAAGCAGTAGTACTGTAAATAAAAATGTGATTTTTGTTTTAAGGAAATCTATATGAAAGTGTACTGTTAATAATTATGTTAATTATCAAATACAACTGAAAAACCTTATACATTATAATAAATTAAACAGAAACACAAATTACACAGAAGCAAAATAATCCACAACTTTCCACAAAATATAATCCACAAAATATTTCAACTTTCCAATTAAAAAGAATTATAGATATTAAGTCTTCTTCAACTATGATCAATTCTTATTTTTTATTTTCATCATTTTATTTGTTTTCAAATATACAGGAAATAATAGAATAATATAGTAAATATCCAAATATTCTATCCTTGACTCAACACTTACCATTTTTCATATCATCTATATTTTGATGATGTATTTTAAAGATACACGATCAGTTCATTGTGTTAATTACACACCCACACAGAGATGCTAATATTGTCATCTAGAATATTTATTTTTAATTAATTTAACAGATGTTAAAATTACTCTTCTGTATACAGTAGACAGAAGGAAGACATAATCACTGGGAGAGTCTTAGAGTTAAACTCCGAAACACATCAGACTTTGCACTTTGTTTCTGCAGAAGGGAATTTCAGGGAGAGGTATTTACTTGGAAACATTTTTAATCCTTTCATCTCACTGTTTAATGGCGGGAAAGAGTCACTATAGGATATTTTTTTAACATTACATGTATTTCTTTAGAACTTAGTGGAAACAGTGGTGAAAGGTTTACCTAATCATAGTTATTAATGTACATGTGCAGTGAAAGCAAATAAGTAAAAGGTTGAAAAATGTGATAGTGTATTTTAATTAGGTAAGACCAAACTAGAATAGCAAAGTAAAGTTAACTCTCGAAGGGCTATTTCAAATGAAGACCAGTTTATGAAAAGATGGACTTCAGAAATCTAAATGACTTGTCATTACTTACAGCTTCGTATCAGTTAATCCCTCAGTTGGGGGGTGGAGGGAAGTGGCTGGGAAGGTTCATTCCATTTTAATTCTGATTGTTTTTCCTGAAAGGGCCTCTTGTGTGTAGCTCATGTTGTCCACACAGGTACCAGAATATAATTTTTCTAAAATTAGAGGATATGAATTTTTTTTAAGTGGTGGTAATCAGAAACTGCCATAATGGAAAAGGGACTTGTGAACACATCTGTACAAATGGAACCATTCTGTTATTGATGGGAGATTTACTACTGATGATACGACTCCAGAACAGTGTGGTAGAGATTGTGTTTTTATTTTAATAGGAGAGCCAGGTCTTGCATTAGGACACTGTTGAAGCTTGTGCAGAAATTAGGCGGCACCCACGGGACTGTGGCATCTTACTAGATTGAAGGGCCTGTAATAATCCCATACTTTGATAGCGCTCAAGATGGAGTATGCGCAAGAGCTGGCCTTGTCTCCTGCTTTTACAATAACTTACGTACGATGACCAAAAGTAGTTATGATGTGCTAGCAGCATTGTTCTTAGTAGATGACTTTTTAAATTAAAAATAAGTTTACTGAGTGACTTTTCTGAGTTTATTTAATGAAACATAGTAAAACAAGATACCTGTTTACAGCAGGTTTAACAGCTACATATTGCACTTAGGAGATTTTATATCCCTACACAGATGAACATTCAGCTAATGGTAGAAATGTAAATACCAGCCTATTGTTTTATAACAGTTTGGGAATGGTTATAAAAATGAGTTTATTTTGTGGGATTTTGTTTAGTGTTTTCATCATTATTTCAGTAATATTTGTTATATTTGACATGTTTCTTACATTTCATTGTCCATGTTTTGAAATCAGTTACTTTAAAAAATACATAAAGTTATGATAAAATTAGTCTTGACATTTAATAGCTTTATATAAATGATATTTATATTGGCCTAAAAATATTCTTTTACTGCATTTTTTTGTGAAAAGCCATGTTATACTAAATTCTGAAAGCCTCTCTTTGACTTTAAAATCGACTTCCCACCACCTCCGCCCCATCCTGTGCACTGTTGCCTCACCTTTATATTTTTTATTCAGGATATTTGACCAGAATTTCAGCTTAGTGTTGCTTAGATCTGAAAAGAGTATTTTTACAATTTTAGATCCGTGTACCCAAAACAGGAGGCGTACTTTATCCTGTACTTTGATCTGTGTTTTAATACTGCACACTAGATGGCAGTTTTGTCATATTCTTCCAATTTCAAGTGCTACTAGTATGCGTGGAGCAGGAAAGGCCATCAGTGTTTAGTCTGCACTCAAAGGGTCTCTGCATGACCAATGCAGACCCCATGGACTTCCTGGAACATATGTTAGCAATTTAGCTGCAGACATTTATTTCTTTGTTTTACTGCTTGGCTCTTTGAGAAAGTGTTGGTGCCAGGTTATGGGTTGTCTGGATCATGTCAGAGGCCATGGAGATCAAGTTCATGTGACAGGCCAGACTAAGGAAGGATGAAGTTGGAGGAGGTGAGGAAACTGACCCTTACTTTCAACAGCAACAAGTCACTGCCTGTCTGTGGACTGGGGCCAAATGCCTGGGCGTTTAAGTTTTACTCCAGCTGAACAAACAAAACACATCGCCCATTTGGCTTTTTCATATTTCATCAGTGGTGGTTCATTCAATGATTTCTCTATTTCTCAAAACTCGCTTATCCCTCCTCTTTCTCTCTTAATGCTTATTCCTATAGCCCTGTCCAGACGAAGTGACCTTGAAATCCTCGGCTACTGCCTGCTGCGGTGGTTATGTGGGAAACTGCCCTGGGAACGGAACCTGAAGGACCCTGTGGCTGTCCAGACTGCTAAAACAAAGTACAGATTTTCAAGTATTCCATCATGTACAGCAGCAGGTCTGAAGGGACACACTAAAGGGAGTTAACCTCCCAGAGAAGACTGCCATTCAACCAAATGATAGCTAAAGCAAATTTCTTAACTTTGAAAAATATTTTTTACAAAACCAAACAGCTTACAGACATAAAACAGCTTACAGACATGAATATAACACCTATGAAATCACACGTACGTGAGTTGTAATACAGAATTTGAAGTGAAATATTTGTTCCTTTACATGGTGTTTTCCAAAGCTTAGATTCTAGGTGGTGGTATTTTCAAGGAGGAGTATTTTCAAATTAGCATTGTACAAGTAGACGGAGGTAGTGTGAGCTTGGTGTGATTGATACTAACCGTGCAGAGCCACAGTGTGAAATGGGACAAATAGGGCTTATATTTTTCAAGTGGAAGAAACATACCTTTTTCTTAATCCTGTGTGTTGGTGGGAGTATGTTTTGTTTCTTAGGGAAGAAACAAACAAAATTTGTTTATGAGGTGTTTATATAAGAGATCATCTTGTAGCCACAAAAAACACTTTCAGTATTCCACATTCAATTTTTATCACCTAAACTCCATTAGCATGAGAATTAGATTAGACTGAGAGCAGAATGGGTTACTATTTCACTGTTTTTCTCACTGATCAGGCCTAAGGAGAAGTCAGTTGCACGCAGCACAGCATAGCCAGTTTTTCATTCTATGCTGAGATATGTCCAACAGTAGTTATCCACAGATACAGTATCACAGTGGGAAAAAGCAGCTATGTTTTAAGTAGGGCGAGTCGCCACAGAAGTTTCCAAAAGAGGTGGCTGATCCATAGAAATGTCTTCAAATTCAGTGTGGCATCAGTTCTTAACAGAAAAGCTAGCTTGCAGATACAGAATAATACAGATAACATTTGTAAATACTGACATATATTATATTGAAATAGTTCTCCACTTGGAATCTTGATCGTCCCAGTCCCTTTCCCAAAATGAACTACATTTACGTGTCAGTTTATCAGAGCTACCTCACCACGTGTTTACTGCAGGGATCGATGTGTCCATACAACCCTCGTGTAACTAACATGTTTCCATATATGGGTCAGATCAAAGCACAGTAATGGGCATATGTAAACAGTCTTGGCATCCAAATTTTCCACCTTAGTTTACCTACTTTGAATACAATACTTTATCTAAAAGACTAGCATTTTAATTCTAATGATCATATGTATGTTTTTCTTTTAATAAGACTAATATTATTTTACTCTTTCATCAATATGAATATGTAGATGCATTCATTGTAGACATCTCTAATGAACAGGCCCACATGGTGTATAGGGTATCATGTAAATAATAAAATGGTAATAAATATAACCCTCATTTTTATTTTGGGGATCTTTACATATATTAATATCTTCATTTTTACTTGACTACTAATATAACCCTATAGATCAGTAAAGCTAATATTGTACCATAAAGTTTATAATTAAGACATACGTATAAGACATATTTTATATGTGTATATAACTGAGGTGTAGACATTTTCAGACTTCTTATATAATACATAATCATAATTTATTCAACTTGCTGAGAAGCCATAACACTGAGACTCCCCATACAGGCATACATGCGTATTCAACCATAATACTGTATCTCTTACGCCCTTTGTTTTCCTGACATGGGGTGATACTAGATCAGCGCATTTATTGTTGCAGTTCTGCCTGTGCCTGAGTTTGTGAATCAGACATTCATATCAGTAACTGTAGTTGAGTGTTTATATATTTGTAGCTGAAGCAACTTAAGAGATTTGTACTTGTTCAGTCTAAAACACTGGAAAGTGTTAGAATAATGGGATTTTTTGTTTTGTTTTGGGGATATTTCTTGTTAACTTGTTAAATCATAGGATGGCATAAAACACTGTCCAATGGAGAACAGTATACATAAATAATTAATTTGCCCACCCCAGTGGTAACGAGGTGAGGAAAAATCCTGAAAGTCTAGATACAATTTTCTATGTATTTTTTTCTTGTTTTTAAGGGGGGGGGGACCATGTGTCTCTACTTGTACATTTCTACATGTACAAACTCTGTTAAAGCATTTATACTGTAATTCTTATTTAGTTTCTAGGCGATGGATATAAAATTGGTCAGTGAGACTTGAGGGATTGCCTCCCTCCACTTACCCTCTTAGCCATTCCAGGTGGGTGAAGAGAAGTATGGCAAGTGACCCACCAACACAGAATTCGAATTTTGTTTTCTAATCAAAACAGCGATTTACAAGATTGCAAACAAATTAATTGTGCCTTACTCTATTTCTTTTTAGTCTGCTGGATGAGCTCCCCGAGTCAGTGCTTAAATGGGCTCCTTCCGGAAGCAGTAAGTCAAATGATAACTTCCACCTTCTGTTTGATTTACAAGCCATCACATGTGTCACTCCTGTTTTGTAGCTTTTGCTGTACCCGTTCCCACAGAGGTGGGAGGAATGTCTTCCGGGTTACGGATAGGTTGTTAGAGAGGAGAACGTTTAGATCCTGTTTTCATCAGGACACAAGAATGCTGCAAGAACAGGCAGAGTTCTCAGCTCTGTTGACTGCATTGTTTTCTTTTAGACACACATTTTGGGAACCATGCACAGATTTAATGGTCAGCCATATCTGGTATTTCTAGAGCTGCCTATTTTGTTTTTGTTCCTCCATATGTTGTTGAAAGAACATAAAGTTTATCTAATAAGAAAAGACTAGAGATAAGATGGTTTGAGTGATAGAAGAAATGATGGGAGGAGTACCAGGTTCCTCTTTTTCAGTACAAGCCATTTGAGTCTATACTATTATTTATAAAATGCAGATTTCTATTTCTAAAGCACAAAATTTCAACTGACAATTTAAAAAACCAAACCATTCAGTGCTATTCTGACCTGGGTTACACTCTGACTGAACAGCCATCAAAAAAACAGGATCGGCAAAGGCATATGTCCTTGGGAATCGGAGGTCTATTTTGTTAAACGGTTTTCTCTTACATGTTAGTATGGACCATTTTGGAATTCTTTAATTGACAGTGTTTTCAGTAAGAATAGTAAGTCAGTTCAGAACTGCCCAAGTGCCGTGTGGCATGTTGTTCAGCACCAATGTAACAGCCGAGTTAGACTGTCTTGCAGAAAGAGCCCGCCTCCGCTGTCAGGCTTGCTTTCTCCTGGAGACAGAGAAGCAGAGTGTCTTGTTCCCTACTTACAGCAGGCATTTTCAGAGTTAGCTTTTAGCTGACTCCTGAGAGTAAATATGTAACTGACCCTCTAGCTAAGGTCAAATAGTGTCAGTTTCTACCTAAGAGTTTCAAAGTAGAGTTAAGTCATCTTAAACATATTTACAGCCCTTCTTTGACAAGAAACCACAATTTTCATTTCCTTAGGAGAAGAAAGAGGAACCACCCCGTTCTGCTTTCCCACCTCCATTTCCCAAGCCCCATAAGTCCGCCCCATAAGTGAGCCTTCTCCTTCCCACTCTCTGTTGTCCCTTTCCTTATGACCGAGCGAGGCAGATGGGAGAGCAGTGTTCTCACCTGGGGGCATGGGTTGCAAGATGAAAGTTTTTCATTTATGTAACTGCACTGAGTAACTCTGTCAATATGCCAGTACCCTTTCTGGCTAACATTCTCATTGGTGTTTTTACCAAGTCATACAGCTTATGCTTCACTCAATAGGACAGCAAAAACGAGAGGAGAGATGTTTAAAAATTTTTTTAATCACGTCTCTCTCTTACTTTTCCTGTCCTTCCTGCATGAAAGGTAACTGTTCAGTTTAGGATTAGAAAAAAAGACCTGAAGCCCTGGATTGTATAAGATAATTGCTCATGGGCCCGTGTATATTCTGGGGCACTGCTGTTGCTAGAGATAAGAAGATTTGAGTGATGGAAGAAATGACGGAAGGAGTACCAGTCTCCTCTTTTTCAGTACAAACCATTTGAGTCTATACTATTATTTATAAAATGCAGATTTCTATTTCTAAAGCACAAAATGCCAAAACTTTATTAACTGAGGGTCTCAAGTTAGTTGGCTGTGCTTAGGAGAGTGGGTACTGTTAACATGAAAATTAATCTGATTTACAAAAGGTCTGTTACTGAGATATTTTATGAAATAGAACAGCTGAGAAGTTTGCAACATACACATCCAACTCAGTGTAGTAAGTTTCGGAAGTTTCTGTCTCTTGAAATGACAGTCAGTGATGATACTTGGCATTTCACTAGCTTAAAAAGCAGGTGATTCAAGAATATCCTAATTTTGTACTACTCAAATAATTTTGTTTTATAGCTCTGGAAATATGTTAGTAAATTAAAAGGTGTACCTCATTAATAAATCCAGATCTTAAAAGGCTGACATTTAAACCAGTACTTTATCCCGATAGTCCAAGCTTCAGGCTTATAATGATAAATTTATAACAGAGGTGGCTCTTGTCTTTTTCTGCCTCTCCCACCTCACTGGTACCTTGGTTTTTCAAGGCCCAGCCCCGCGAAGGCTTTGCCGCATGGCTGCTGGAGTGCCAGGAGTTTGCCGTTGTCTTCTAACAGGATCTGTGAAAAGTGTACCCAGCAAATTCAGCTCTCTTCTCCATTTGGGAGATTTGGGTTAATAGAAATGTCATATATGCCAAACTGGGCAAGAGACAGAGAACAACAGAGTATTTATATTAAAATAGTAATGAGTGGAATTTAATCTTTTTTTGATCGTCTCTTCAGGAATTGGATGCCCCAAAAAGGGCTCCTGGAGTTATAATGTGATGAAGCAGCAGCACTTGCTAGTTAATAGAGATCTGGTTGAGCGAATGCTTGATAACAAATTCATCTTATACCTCAGAGAGGACAAAAGGAGGCTGCAGAATCACACCACCAATCAAAAAACTCTGGAGCCAAGAGTTTTCATTTTAGCCACAACAGCCTTATGTTCCTAGAAGACAGTTGTGGACATTGAAACTGTCACTCTCTCACTTTCCTCGGGGGGAGAGATGATGACTGCTTCCTGTGGGGTTTTTCCCAGAGGGAGTGAAAGCCGGTGAGTCTGCTGTTGCCCACTCGAGTGGAGGTCGGCCTGGAGGGGAAGTGAAGGCTTAGGAAGCCACTGTGCCAGCCCAGGAAGCTTCGCAGGTTTCCCCACCGTAGGACATAAACAACTCAGTGAGACAGAGGAACTTGTGTCTGGGTCAGTAATAAGCTCTTGAAGAGGAAAGTCTTGTAAAAATTAGGTTATGACGTATCTAAACGTCTCTGTGAACAAATGACAACATGCCAGTTTTTAAACAGTGTACAGTATGATCACTTGTATCTCAGATCGAACCTCCACCTGAAAAAAAAACGTAAACTATGTTTTAAGCGGCTATGTTCATAAGTTTTGGTTACTGATTCCACATGTACTGTAAGTTTCTCATTCACAACTTTTTCATGGGGCGAGAGTTAATATATCATTCTAGGGAAAGGATTATGTTAGAGAAAAAAAGGGCAGCTTTTCATCCTTGTGCTCTAAATCAGGAAGACTGTTTGGTCATTGCACTGGGCTAGCTATGTATGGAGGATTTGAGTGAGGTTTGGCAAATTCTAAAGTCAGTCACAGCTAAAAATGTAGAATTCAAGGTCATTTCTAAACATACTGTTGTAATCTCAAAATCAAAGCCTTAATTAAAATTTACAATGATTTTTTTTCCTTTAAGGAGGTTTATAATAAGTAACACTTGTTTTTAACTGAATTTTAAAAACTTCAACATGAAAAGAGTTATGAAGCATGATTAGTCTATTATATTATTCATATAGTTCTTAGTTGTTGCACCCCATAAATCAGAATCACTATGATTTTAAATATTTGCTTCCCTTGATAAGATTAATGAATTTGTAAACATATCAACAAAGATACGTGGGGGAAAAAAACAAACCCACCAGTTTCCCCCATCTTATCAAATCTGTAGGTCACTGTATTCCAGTCCTTTGAGGGTATTATTTAAAAAGTGCTTTTCATCGAACTGTTCATTCTTAGTTTCTTCAAGGTGTGTGCGTGGATGTGAGTGCACGCATGTGTAAGAGAAAAAACAACCGAGATTTTGCGGATATTGGAGTCTTGACAATTCTTGCCAATTATGAATGACATACTGAAAAAAATGTGATACTTCACAGGTGAAGTAGCGCAGTATTTGCTGTGTGCTCGTGATTTAGCATATGATGAAAAGCCAAACTATCAAATGCTCAGGAAAATTCTGAATCCAGATGGAATGCCATTAGGACCACTGGAGTTTTCCACTAAAGAAGAGAGCTTAAATATGCCTGCTCCAAACAATCCAAAGGTAAGTAACTGTCCCTGGAATTACCTTCTGTGAAGCTTTTCTACCAAATGAAGTTTTTTAGGTGTCAAAACGAGTCTGACAACCCTGTTTCTTGCTTAGTATATTTAATTTGCATATCCCCTAACTCAGCTTCAAGAAATTTTGTGAAAAGTTCTTTTGACCTATTGTCTCTTAGAAAAGAAAAAGAATCTGTGTCCTCTTGTGCATCTGAAAGAACTAAAGCACTCACTGATGTCAGAGAGGCAGGTCTCGGGTAAGATCAAAGGCCAACCTGACTTCATTCATGAAAGCCTTTTCTTGCTGCTTTTCTTCAGATTTTCTTTAGTCACTCCTCTGTTTTTGCATACTCGTTTGGCCATAATTTGGTGGTAGTGGTAATATTCTTAGATTTAACCAGTTATTTGTATGTGCAGATATTTCAATCTATAGAAACAATTCTTTTTTTTTTTAAAAAGTTACTTTCAATTTACTTCTCCTTTACTCTGTCTTCCAACTGACTCCCTCACAGCAACATTAAGAAAAAAAAGAATTAGAACTTGAAACAATACGAAAGAATTAAAAGGAAACATTTTTTTAGGAGGGTGGGGGAAACCTGAGACTGCTCTCAGCAACATTACTGGACAGGCAGCTAAACATCCAACCCCACCTTGACACTGCTCATATGTTTAAAAAAAAAAAATAGGGCTTTTTTCCCTGATGCTTGTACAATAAGGTAGGGTCAGGATGCCATTCATTTTTAATATTTCTTATGAACTTTGGATCATCACAAGTGTTCATGAGCCAAGAATGCAGGATGCAAACTAATGTGACTGATAGGCTGCTAGATGAATGGTGAGTCAAGTATCAGTGCACAGATGGTTCTGATTTGCTGAATTTTGTAGCTGCTGCAACTGAAGACATAAAATATCCTTCTAGTCATAAATTAGCTCTTTGGAAGCAAAACCTTGGCACCAGAGCTTTACAACCTTCAATTAGTAGGGAAAGAAGTATTTGAATGACTGTGGTATTGACATCTGTAGGCCTGCATAGTAATCATTCCTAATAGAAGAGAATATCTGTTTGAGGAGGTTTTGCATGGCTAATTAACTACCAGTGAGAATATGTAATTTTTTCATGATCTCCTGATTGTCACCTTTCTCTCATGATACAATTACATTTTATTGTAGCAAGTGCCTCACAAACCAATTGTCAGCACTATTTACGTATTGCAGAAGGCAGAACAAAAGTTCATGTTTAATAAAAAGCCACTGGATTTTGATCTTGGTAATTACTGAGACTTATTTTAACAGTTTTATTGACTTTTGTGTTTTTATCACTTTTGCAACAAAACAAAGAGCTATTTCCTTGACGTAGTATTCCCCTTGCAATAATGGTCATCACTTAATCTATGCTAATTTAAGTAGATTTTTCCTTCTTTGTAGTTTTTCAGTTTCATAAACTTAATTGAAATATAAAAGAAGCCATTTTAAAAACCGATAGCTATATCCTCTGATATAAAATTCTAATTATTATCCACCAGAATTTTCAGTTTCATCAAATTCAAAGGATGCTTGTTGTGAAAACATTTTTATATGCAGAGATAGAACGTAAAACATTTTTCCAATGAGATTCAGTCGAAAATATTTTTTTTTCCCCTTTTGATTGGAGCACTTTAACACTAAGAATAATATGCACTCCTAAGACCTTAATATCTGTTAACCATATGATCAACCTCGATACACAGACAGTAAGATGAACTGGGGGTATTTTTCACAGCAGATTGATATTTATTGAATAATGATTTTATTTCTTGAGTATTTTGAGTACACTAATATATTTAATAATTACAGTATAAAATATAGGCTTACCATATGTGAACAAACCTCTTAAATATCTTAATTTTTATTTTAAAAGTTTACAGATTTTGTAATGCTGCAAAAACCAAACTTGAAAATGATCAAAAGCAAAGTATGACGGTATAAACTGTCCTAAATGATACAAGTACAGGATAGTTTCCACAACTGATTACTTCCATAACAAAATCATTTTTAAGTCCAGAATGAGTTTCACTCACATAGCCACACATTTCTCTCTTTTTAGACAGACTCCCTTTGTTAGTAGCTAAAGACGTTTCTAATTACTCTGTACATGGATCTAGTTATTTAAGAGAATAAAGAATGAACTCTGGACTTGTACTTTATGGATAAAGATAGTTAGAAAAGTCAGTGGGCCTGAAAACATTTAGCCTCTAATAAAATGTTTCTACAATTGAGTATTCAAAGGAAAGTCTTAAATGTTTAATTTTTTTAGTGTTATTTTCCTAAGTATAAGTGTTTTGTGCCTTTTAAATTTAGCAGTTATAACAAAAATATGTTTTGGTTAGGTATTAGAAAGTAGCATATCACCGTAAGAATCTCAGCAAACAGCATCTTTTCACAAAAGAAAAATGAGGCATTTTTCCAACACCGGGCTTTACTTACTGGGCACCATAAACTTTCCCTATTACTGAGCCTTCTTCTTGAAGTCCTCAAATACGTATTGATGTTAAACTCTCCAGATAGTAGAGACATTGTTTGTTTGTTTGTTTTCTGAAAAGCAAATCTTTGGGGGTATTTGCCTCAATTGAAATGAGCAGTGTGGCTGAGTGTAGCTGCAGTTACTCGCCAGTGGTTCTGACGGCTCCTGAGGTAGCTTTGCCAAATTACAGGAACCTGTCGTCAGGGCCACCACAGTCCAGCTATGCCATCCGCTGGATTTAATGTCCAGAATTCACTGAAGGAAACCATATTCAGTAAGAATGCTTATTGAGGTGAGCCAAAGCTCTAGGATTCCCAGAGGAAAACGCTGAAGCCATGCTGGGAACTAGCATTCCTGGAGGCCCCAGCTGAACCCTTGAATAAGGTCTTTCCTCCACGGTGCTGGATCCCTTTATCAGTTTATCAGTTCTCCCTCCTTGTATTGATACCTGAATCCATAGCATAATGGTATCGACAGCCGCATGATGAGCCATCCTCCCTACATGCTTTACCTGGCAGAGGAGTAGCTGTGGGGTCATGGTTAAAGTGTTCAAGCTGTCCTACGTTTCAGGCGGAAAGTTAGTTCACCCTAGATCTGTGGGTTCACATGGCAAGTCCAGGGGTGAATATATTATTATCGGTAGTAGTAATCTTTGTATTGAACTTAAAAATTTACAGAATTCTTTCTTGAGCTTTAATTCTCAAAATAGTTCTGTTAAACTTGTTTTTATATTTATTTTCTCTGTGTGAGAAAGAGGATATAAATTCTTAATTATAAGCACATTTTTGCTTTAGGAGTCCAAAAGTATTGCTTATTTTGTAGAACAGGGTGGCATGCCAATGGAAAATTAAGTTAAAAGTACTTTATATGAATAGCCACTGTCTTGAAAATGACACAGGTTTGGAGAGTATCTTTCTATTTGATGATGTGGGGTGCCTGGCGTGTTTTCTATATTTACTTTTATATCTTTGAGAACAAGTTTTACTCTGTTCACAATTAAGAGTTAAACTTCATCATCCCACTTCACTTACCATTTTAAAAGTTTCCCTAGAAATAGAAATTTTCCATAAACTGGGTATCATTTTGATTATTAGCTAGAAGTGCTCATGGCAGCACAACTTAACCATCCAGCCAACTGACAGGAGATCCAGGAGGCCTCAAAGAGGATTGAATACATTAGACCAAATTTTGTTTGCACATCAGAAGCTCCTAGGCCAAAAAACTGTTATGCCTCAAGTGCCTCGCATATAGGAGGCTCTAAAAACCTCAATTAATATCTCAACGAATCCTTTATATCACAGAACACATTTCATCGTGATTGGCAAGCCAGCATTTTATTAGGGTAGAACCGTGTACTGCAGCCTTGGGAAACCCTCTGTTTCACACTAGCGGTATGATGGGCATTTATTACCAAGATGACTTCAGTGGAAAACTGGCTCAGAAGGTGGTTACACATGGATTTTCCTAGGAGTTGAGAGGTAGAAATGAACTCCTGAGTGATCAGAAAGCAATTCCAATTTTCAGGTTACTGAGAAGCAGTGGCTTTGCTATCCTTTGAGAAGCTTGGATCAAGGAGGAGGGGTGGATAAAGAATGGTGTTGTGACAACTTAGACCTAGCCACAAAACACCAGCATATTTTAAAGGGAAGGAGTGAACACACTTGGCAATAGAAGCTAAAAATTGAGACTACAAATTAAGGCTCTGCTTGCCCCGCCGATGTAATTCATTCTCCAGTTTGGCACTGGCTACTCCATTATTTCCCCTCGTGCTGTTCCTGTCTTCTGCCCCCTATTTAACCCATGAAAAAAGGTGATGGCACTTCCAGCTGCTGTAAGCATGAAGCTGCTGAACAAATGCTTCACATAAGGATCTTCACTGTGGCTTTCAATCTTCCAACTGTATTGTGGGATCTGCCCTCCTATTCCGTGTCTACTTCAAGGTTATTGAGAGTCAGTCATCCCCCAGATAACACCATGGTGTGAAAAAGAAGCCTTAGAGACAGCAAGTCATAGAATTTAACCTCTGATACTGGTACACACTATTAGATGACATGGACTGTTATCCATCTGCTCAAAGGTTAAATTACCTGTGTAAGAAAGTAAGCAACATCGTAAGCTCCTTTCATATGTTCACATTAATTAGACTCACTGCAGTGATAGAAGACTAAGATTCTAATTAATAAGAATTTAAACTAAAAAGATGTACTGGATCTACTCCCAGCAAAGGTTAATAATGAATTCATGTGCAGTTTTAAAATGTGACAGTTTTCTGTAAAAATGCCGTTTTCAATAAGCAAGTTATCTGTAGAGATAATTTCTAAGGAGTGCACAACAGTGACACTAATTTTAATTGGTCTTGTCCTCCTGAGGAGAAAAGGCTTGGATCTTGCCAACGACTATATTTTTCTCTGACTTCCATTTGTTGGTTTCCTCTTTGCTTCTTCCTTTTTTTTTTTTTTCCAAAGCTTGGCAAGTACAGAATTTTCAAGAATCTGGACATGAATGCATTTTTTTTATAAGTGTCAAAAGTTTTCATTATATATTACTACTTACTCTGTATCAACAGGTTGATTCACGAAAGGCTACAACAAAGCAAGTCAATCAGATGCAAAATAGGGTAATAGGAAAACAAGTCCCCAGTGAGAGAAGTGCCGAGTCCTGTGCAGCGCGGAGAAGAGTTCAGGGAGAGGAGGAGCCGACGGGGCTGCCCAGCCGTGACCCGCCGCAGGTGAGAGGTGTGCTGCTGCCGCTGCCGACTTCTCCCTTAGTGTTACATTCGGATATGCCCTTTGGGAGTAAGGACGTTTTATTTTCTCTTGGGGGCCAAGGTTTTGTTAAATGAGAAGGGACAGAAAATATCCTATCCAGTGGATAAAATCAAAGCAGCCAAGTTATCATAGAAACAGAATGACAGTGAGCACATCTGCATACAGATCCGATTTCTTTCTTTAGCCTGAGAATGTAATGTGCACTGAAATTTTTAATGCCTCCTTTGATCCATAAGTGACTCCTCATATTCCATATTTTTGCATTAGACTTTTACATTAGACTGGTTCTTCCAGTCTAACTCATAATCCAATGTGAGAGTGTCTCTGTCAGTGTGGCTATATTTTTAAATGATGTATTTTTTTATATTATTCCATCATTTGTCTAGTGACTCACCTTTAGCAGATGACTCATTCAAGCAACACCAAAAGCCTTTCTTAATCTAACCCTTTTTGACAAGAAAGAGAAGCATGCAAGGTATTTATACCTGCAATGAAAAAAGTGTTTTTCCAAAATGGCCAACATTTTACATATAATTTACACATCATTTGCCCCAAATGATTTGAGGTCATTTACAATATAGAACAAGATAATTCTATCTCCCAAGGCTCTCTAACCACCCCCTGAAAAGAAACTGGTTAATCAAGCAGTTGGGATGTTAATCACTAAACTGAGCGTTGAATTTGGCTCTGAACTTCTGGGCAGCCAAGGCAAAAACTAGAAGCGTACAAGTTAGACATGTCTCCTCTAACCAGCAAGCATACAAGCTTATCTAGAGAGAAATGCTTTTTTAGTACTAATAGGAATCTTGCATTTACTCTGATACAAAACAACAGTAGCATCATTTGTTTTTTGTTTTATTTTTTAAGTTGATATGAAGGAATCTACTTCAAATGGACACTTTTTATAGTTCCCATTTCTAAAATCAAAGACAGATATTGCTTGGTGACAAAATTTAGATTGAGTGCCCTTTTTCAGCCAGTATCACCTGTGTGTGGAGGGAGGCAGGACTATAAGAATACTGATGCCTGGGTTGCAAGCAAAGAAATGGATTCATTTTCATTGGGGTGGCAATGCGATAGGTGTGTGTAGATTTTATTACTCCAGAAAGTTCTTTGTTCCTTTTCTGTCATGTCAGTCCCCTTCTCCCAGAAACAACCACTTTTCTGATATTCTGACTTCACCACTAGATTAGTTTTGCCTCTTCTAGAATTTCACATACACATACTCATACAGTATGTGTCTGGCTTCCTTCTCTGAGCATGTTATTTTTGAAGTTTACCCATACTCTTGCATTTGTTCTTTTTCTTGTTGAGTAGTACTCCGTAGTATAGCTACATCATAATTTGCATATCCATTCTCCTATTAGTGGACACCTGGGCTGCACCTGGCTGTAGCCATGAATATAGTTGCTATGAATATTCTGATGCAAGTCCGTCTATGGACATGTTTTGTTTGTCCTGAGAAGTGGAATTGCTGGGTCATGGGGCAGATAAATGTTTAACTTCATAAAAAGCTGACAAATACTTCCCATTTTATATTCCCACCAGTAACGTATGTGAGTTCCAGGCACTCCACATCCTCCCCATTATTTGGAGTTTGTCAGTCGTTTTTTTAATTTTAGCCACTCCAGTGTGTGTGTATTAGTGTCTCATGGTGATTCCAATTATCATTTACCTGATGACTAATAATTGTGAGCACCTTTTCCTGCTGACTGCCCATTCATGTATCGTCTTCTGTGAAATGTCTTTTCAAGTATTTTGTCCATTTTTGTTTGGATGATTGTCTTTTTATTAAGCTGTAGAAATTCTCTCTATATTCCACATATAAGTCTCCTGTCCAGTATCTACATTGTGGAAATGTTCTCCTAGTGTGCAGCCTGCCTATTTGTTTATTTAAGTATCTTTGATGAGCAGAAACTTTTTTATTTGAAGTTCAGCTTATCAGTTTTTTTTTTCCTTAGGTTTCTTTACAGAAAAAAAATTAAGAAATCTTTGCCTACCTCAGGGTCACAGAGTTATTTTGCTGTATACTTTTTAGAAGGTTTATAATTTTAGCTTTCATGTCTGGGTCAATGAGCCATCTCAAACCAGCTGGGTATGATGTGAGGTAGGGGTTGAGATTCATTCTTTTGCATAGAAAAAAGCCAGTTACCCCAGCTCGGTTTGTTTAAGATTTTCCTCTTCCTAATTAAATTTCTTTGGGGCCTTTTTGAAAAATCAGCTGTATAAGCATGGAACTATTTCTGGATTCTCTTTTCTATCAATCTATTTGTCCTTAAACCCAAACCGTACTGCACCAATTACTATAGCTTTATAGCAGGTTGTGAAATTAGGTAGTTTAATTAGGTAGTTTAAGTCCTTCAGCCCCTTTCTTTTCTTCAAAGGTGCCATAGCCATTTTAGGTCCTGGTCCCCTCCATAAAAATTTAGGAATCACCTTGTCAATTTCTACTGAGCAGCACAATGAGATCTTAATTGATACTATACCACATGTAAAGATCAGTATCAGGGGAACTGAAATCCCAACAACACTGAATCCTCCAATGCATGAACCTGATACTTTTCCCCATTTATGTAGATCTTCTTTAACTTATTTCAACAATGTTTTGTAGTTTTTAGTGTAGATATCCTACACATTAAAAGTTATCTCCAGGTATTTTGTTTTTTAATCCTATTGTAAATGTCATTTAAAAAAATTCATATTCCATTTATTTATTGGTATATAGAAATACATTGATTTTGTATGCTGACCTTGTGTCTTGGGATCTCCCTAAAATTCACTTGTTAGTTCTAGTAGTTCTTGTGTATTCTTAGGATTTTCCGCATGGTCAGTCATGTTGTCTGTCAATAGAATCTTACTTCTTCCTTTCCAAGATGTATGCCTTTCATTTACTTCTTTTATCTCTTATTACAGCTGCTGGGACCCCTAATACTACATTCAATAGAAGTAATGAGAGTGGGCATCCTTGTTATGTTCCTGATCTCAGGGATCTTTCTTCTTTCTTTCACCATTAAGTATGATGTTAGCTGTAGGTTTTTCCTAAATGCTCTTTCTCACACTGAGGAAATTTCAGAGTATTTGTAGTTTGCTGAAGAATAACTTTAAGTCATAAATGGGTAATAAGTTGTTTTCTGTGATCTGTTGAGATGATCATATGATTTTTCTCCTTTACTAGTATAAGGAGTTACATTGATTTTTGAATGTTAACCTTTTATTTTTGGAATAAACCCCACTTAGTCATGATGTGTTGTCATACTGAATTCAATTTGCTATTTTTCTATTATGGATTTTTATATCTATATTGATGAGAGATATTGGTCTGTAGTTTTCTTCTCTCATAGTATCCTTGTATGGTTTTGTTTTCTGGTCTCTAAAAGTTACATGAGAGGGAAGTGTCTTTTCAGAAAATGTTTTTATAGGACTTGTTTTTCATAAGTGACAATATTTAGCAAGAAAACCATCTAGGTCTAGAGTTTTGTTGGAATAAAATTTTAAATTATCAGTTTACTCTCTATCACAGATAGTAGTGATAATTAGATTTTCTTGAGTCAGGATTGGCAATTTGATCTTCCAAGAAATTTGTCCATTTCATCTAAGTTGTCAAATTTGTCAGCTCTATACAGTTCATGATATTCTCTTATTATGCGTTTAACATCTTCAGTATTCATTCCTGATACTGGTAATTTTTCATTCCTGATAATGGTAACTTGATATTCATGTTGCTTTATAGTGACACCATCTCCCCAGTCCTAAATCCTGGCAAGCATTGGTCTGTTTGCATCACTAATTTTGCCATTTGGGGCACGTCAGTATAAATCAAATTATAGACTGTAGCTTGTTGAGATTGGCTTTCTTTCACCATAACACCCAAATTTTGCATGTACTGATGGATGATTCCATTTTATTGCTAAGTTGCATTCTGAGGTATGGATGTAGTGTTGAAGAACATGTGAGTTGTTTCCAGTTTTTGGCCTCTCATCGTTTAGTGTGATGTTAATTGTAGATTTTTGGTAGATATTCTTTGATAAAGCTGTTGATGAAGCTCCTCTCCATTTCTAGTGTATTAAGAGTTATCATTAATGGGTGCTGAATATTGTCAAATGCATTTTCTGTATCAATTAATACGATCATCTGATGTTTCATCTTTATGGTATTACCATGGTGGATGACACTGATTAGTGTTTGAATATTGAACTAATCTTACATTCCTTGAATCAACCCCACTTGGCTATGGTGTATTATTCTTTTCATACGTCATCGGATTCAGTTTGCTGGTATTTTGTTGAGAACGTTTGCATATCTAATGAAGACTATTGGTCTGTAGTTTTCATTTTATTGTCTTCGTCCAGTTTTGTAACCAGGTATTGCTGGCCTCATAAATTAGTTGAGAGATCTTCTAATTTCTGGAGGAGAATGAATAGAATTTCTTTTTAGATGTTTTAGAGAATTCTCCAGTAAAACCATCTGGACCTGGAGATTTCTTTTCCTTTTTAACTATGAATTCAATATTTTTGCTAAGACTATTCAGATTATCTATTTCAAGAGTGGGCAGACTCTCCTGTAAAGAGCCAGACAGTAAATATTTAGGTTTTACAGATCCCATATGGTCTCTGTTTTATTCAGCTCTGCATTGTAGTGCAAAAGCATCATATACCATAGGT